AAATAAAATCTTAAAAAAAAAAAAAAAGAATTAGCAATGGGTGATCTCTGGCACTAGAATGGGCAATTCCTTAGCTGTTCATACAACATCCAAGCTGCACACCACATGACATTGCTGGTTAGCAGTTGAATTTTACATTTAAATTATCTTAAAAAACTGGATGTCCTAGCTACATTTTTCAGTACCAGTATGCTAACCACATCTAATACTTGGTGCCTGAGGTAGAGACTTCTTTAAGAGCTTTATTAAAGAAAACACAATTGAGAGTACAATAAAGAAAAAACATTTTCCATCTTGGAAGCATATAGCCAAATGTCTTTGCTGGTTCAACAAGCAAACCCTGAAATGCAAAACACTTACTCCTTTTATTTCTGTAGAGATTTTGCATGGGAATAAAGATTTTTTGTCTGGACTCCTGGATTTTGGAATACTATGGACTGTCTCTTTAAAAAGTATGATTACTGGGGCGCCTGGGTGGCTCAGATGGTTAAGCGTCTGCCTTCAGCTCAGGTCATGATCCCGGAGTCCTGGGATCAAGCCCTACATTGGGCTCCTTGCTTGGCGGAGAGCCTGCTTCTCCCTCTCCCTCTGCCTACTGCTCTGCCTACTTGTGCTCTCTATCTCTGTCAATAAATAAAATCTTTAAAAAGTATGATTATTAAGGTAGAATGTGCATGAACCAAACTCACTTAACATTATGAAAAACAACACAACTACATCAGGGACAACAAATAAAATCTTTTAATCTCTCCATGATGTGTGGCCAGAATGAGTAACAAGTATGCAATTCAACCTAATGATTCTAACATTTGATGGTGACTGAATTATTACAGATTTAGGATATATAGGTGAGTTGAAATTTTATTTCCAAACTCTGTATAGGTGTTGGGGCTTTCTTATTTTTAGGTGGTAAGGCTCTTCATGAGATTACATGATTTTGGGCGCCTGGGTGGCTCAGTCGTTAAGCGTCTGCCTTCGGCTCAGGTCATGATCCCAGGGTCCTGGGATCGAGTCCCACATCGGGCTCCCTGCTCC